TAAATAAATAAATAAATAAATAAATAAATAAATAAAGGGCGCCTGAGTGGCTCAGATGGTTAAGTGTCTGCCTTCAGCTCAGGTCATGACCCCAGGGTCCTGGGATCAAGTCCCGCATCGGGCTCCCTGCTCAGCAGGGAGCTTGCTTCTCCCTCTGCCTCTCTCTCTCTCTGTGTCTCTTATGAATAAATGAATAAAATCTTTAAAAAAAAATCTTTTAAAAAAATGCTTAAAAAAAAGAATTCTATTTTTGAGCTGCTAAGGAGGCAAGAAGGTTGTGCGTAATTACACAAGACAACAGAGATAAACCAAGTAACTATCCCCTCAAATTCTAGAAAACTACTGAAAAATGGCACCCCAGAATCCATTACAGAATACAGTTAAGAGTTCGTAGGTGAAGTTGTAAATTCAAAATTCCAGAAGAAAGCACAGGAGAGCAGAAGACAGAGAAGCCTGTTCCTCACATGGAAGGGCAAGGCTGGGCTCCTGCCAGATAGCAAGCATCATGAGAGACCCAGGGGTTTTACAAAATGAGGTCGCTCTGAACTCAAATTAATAAGGAGGTTTTATGGATTATTTTGTAATCTCTATTTTCTGAATGCCAGTGTTCAAATATCATGCTTCAACCCTGAGTCCTGCTTAGATTTATCTATACACTGGTTTGTCTCAGGTGTGCTATGGATTGATGGAAAGAGACCCTACACACACATACACACTACACACATACACATACACCACAAGATGCAATTCCATGCTTGTTTTATTTAACAAAGTCTAGAGAACCCTTGCAGACAACAGCCACCTGGAACAGGAACAGCTAGGGAAGGTGTCTAATCTTAAGTCGCACCAGCCCATCCCTACATGGCCATGCAACTACCAGCAACCCTGTAAAGGGAAGCTAGGGTCTTGCCAGGTGCTGGAGCTTAATTTTATGTTATAACATAGCCCTTTCTCACTTGAGTATTATATCATGGTTCATGAAGAACTTACACAAATATTTCTAAGACTATGACTTTCAAACTTGCTTGGTTGACTATGATTTATAATAAGAAATTCATCTTACATATACCCATTTGTTCATCCAATTCATTTAACATATATTTACTGTAATCCTCCCAAATGCCAGGCACTGTTCTAGATGCAGGGGATTCTGTAAGAAACAGAACAGTTTGAAATCCTTGCTCTCCTGAAGCTTATATTCTGCCGGGGAAGGGAGATGATGAACGAGTATGACATAATCACAGGTCAGATGCTGATAAAGCCACAGAGGAAACACAAATCCAAGAGGGGGGATGGGAATGTGGGAATGCTGGGGGAAGGGAGGATGGGAGTTTAAACGGGCAGCCAGGAAAGGCCGCACCAAGAACGTGACATCAAGCACAGCCCTGCAGGAGGAGGAAGAGGGGCCATGTGGATATCTCAGGGAAGAAAAGTGAAAACAACCAGTGAAACAGATATACTGGAAATAGCCCAAGACAAAGTATGTTCTGGTCCCATTTCTGCCTATGCTGGGCTTTAGACAAGTCACTTTCCTTTCTGAGCCTCTTCTCTTCTTTCTAAAATGAAGGTATGCCACTTGATCCTCTCCAAGCTCATTCCTGGCTTCAACATTTCCCAACATCTGTCTTGAGGACCCTCTTATGTCTTATTCTGGGCAGATGTATATGTATTATCTATATATGTGTATGTATACTTTTATGTACATAACATAGAAAAATGGTGGAACAAAATTCCATAAATGGTACTATCCTAATTACATGAAACACACTCCAATATTTTCCACTTTGTCTTATTCTGTTCTATTTCATTTTGCTAAATGCTGATTGCACCCAACTAAACTGATTTCACTATCCACTAATTGGTCTTAAAGAACCATTTACAGGCATTGAAATCTTCTTGGTTATGGAGCCAAATACGGCATTAGCAAAAACACATACTCATCCAAGGAAAAGAAAAGCTAACTCAGTACTGGAGTCTTCCTCTGCCCTGCACTTTCAGCCACCCGGAAAGCAGAGGCAACACAACAACACTGAGACTTAGATTTCTCATCAGCATAATGGAAATGACAATGAGGATTAAGTCACAAAATACATGTAGGATGACTGATCAAGTGCCTGGCACTTAATAAACACTTAATAAACAAACAAATTGGTGGTGATGCCACTGGTCGAAGTGAAGCCAAACTAGAATAGAAAGAAAAAAAAAAAACCAGCTCCATCTCATCAGCAGGACCTTAGAATCCAAAACGTTAGAGAAACAGAGCTAGATATTGTGAATGCCAGTAATTATCTTAGTAATAAATGTCACAGAAGGAAGAATGTGTGATTCCAAAATGTGCTTCTTTCACCGCTAAATCCTCTCTCCTCTCACTTCAGCAAACTATATGGAAATGGGTTTGAAGAAATACAAAGTCATGCCTTCAACGGGACAACGCTGATTTCCCTGTAAGTATGTGCTTATTTCCCCAGCTCATGAATAAAAATGAAGTATTACTCTAGCTACCAGATCACACTCAATCTTCAGCAACTAACGCAGGACAAAAATAAACTTTCAAGTGGTTAGTCCTCAGTGTTTCACTCATGTTACTAGGCAACTGGCTGGCTAGAAACCCCAGAGCACCTGATTTCAAAGATAGATGCAGCCTGGAGACATTAAAGTTGACAGTTTGCTAAAATATTCAACACTCTACTTTAGTCTCATCTCTCGGCCTCCCTTTCTAGCCCCCTCACTCAGGTTGATGGTGTGTTAGAAGCAGCACGATTTCAGTGAAGAAATTCTTCCCCCAGCCTCACCGCAGAGAAATCGGGTAACCCCAGCTACCAGCCCAATCAGCCACAACAGGCCCACTCGCAGTCCCATCCCCCTACTGCTAGGGGGGATTATGGAGCACATTTTTCACAGAGTGAGGGGGCCTGGTGCTTTCACCATATCCTACCCCGGTCCCCAGCGTTCACAGCCTTTAACTCAAGGAGAGCATTGCTACCAACTTCTTCCTTCATTGTTCCCCACCTCTCTTTCCTTCGATGGCTCCTTTTCTAAAAGAGTGGCTCATTCACTAAACCTGCTGGGCTGGGGCCATTGGAACCATAACAGGTACAGAGTGAGGTGACAATCACCCTACAGTTGGGTATAATAAAAACTAAGAGCACCTGAAAAGCACAACTGAAGCCAAAATTAAGAAAAGGCTTTTATAATAAATTGTATAAACCAGTCTATACAAGGGCTTCTCAGACTTTAACACACATAGAATAACATGGAGATTGCTAAAACACAGATTCCTAGGCCCCATCCCCGGAGACTTTGCTTCAGTGGGTCTAGGGTAGGGCTTGAGAATTTGTAATTATAACAAGGCCTCAGGAGATGCTGATGTTGCCAGTCTCAAGTTGAGTAGCATGTCTATACAATAGACTATTTAACTATACATATTAACCAAAGACTCTATTATATCCATACCATGCTACAGAGTTTGGTGACGAAGAGAACAGAGCTAAGAGTCACTGACTGGGCTTCAAACTCCAATGCCAGTATTTATCAGCTTGACCTTGCGCAAGTTACTTAACCTATCCCAGCCACAGTGTTCTCAGCCATAAAATAGAGCCGCTAATGGGCTTGTTTATTTCCAAAAATGAAAAGGTCTGTTTTGAATCCTCAGTACTTAACACAGTGCCTCGCACAGAGTATGTGCTCATTTATTATTTATCACATTGCACAGTTCATTAACTACAAATGAATGAATGAATGACAAATAAGATTATATTTTTATAATCTTAGCCTGAGTCTGGCACATACCAAGTGCTCGAGAAATGGTACCTTGAACTCATGGAGTAAATTTTCCTTCATTTTCTTGTTGACTTGAATTTAACGAAGAGTTCACTCTAGCCAATTGAATCTGTTTCTGACAAAATCAAATCATTACTCTCCTGGCACAGTACTTTCAGATGCCTCATTCACTCAACATGGGTTTGCCAAGCATCAGCTGTGTTTGAGGAACATGCTATATCTGGGGTGGAAATGAAGATGAATAAGCCCCAGTGTTTGCCCCACAGGAGCTTAGAGCCTAGGAAGAAGCATCGCCAAATGGTATATAAACTGTACACTAAGTAGTAACTAAAACAGAAGGCAAAGCATGATGCCTCCCCTGAGAGAAGTAAAGTCCTCTGGGATTTCAAAGGCAGAAGAGAAGAAAATTAGAGAAAGCCTCAGGAGAGACATAGAATTTGAGCTGGTTCTAAGAGAGGCAAAGAGAGAAGGAAAATGCATTCTAAGCAGAGGATAACAAAGAGAATGGCCCAGAGGAGGAAGCATATGTTCACAGAACAGCACACAGTACCTTTTAGAAAGTTCTAGGTGTGAGTTAGGGACAAAGCAGGAAGGGCCTCAGGTGCCACAGTAAAGAATTTGGACTCTCTTCTGTAGAAAATGAGAAGCTGTTGAAAGTTCTGGGATGCAAAGTGTGAGAGACACTTAAAGAAGGTTCATCTGCTAGCAGAAAGGACAGAAGTTGGTGGTGGGGGTGCAGGGCTAGCGACAGACACCAGCTCTCTGAATACAGGGGGTGACTGAAGGCCTTCGTGGCTGAGGTCACCTGGACGAGGGGGGAACTAAGAGAACTGAATATAAAATTGGGGGACAACAAGAAAGGAGGAGAAGCCAGAGCAAAAGCAGAGTGGGAGGGACACCAGCAGAGGACATCTTCGGGAGGTCAGGGACAACAGGACTTTGGGACGGAGGGCCTTTGTCGGCAGTGTCCCAGCTGCTTCAGTGATGCCAAAATGAGTGTGATCTTCAAAAAGTCCAACTAGTCAAGATTCTGAATCTTCCATACCTCACTGTTGCAAGAAAGAGGAAGCCAAGAACACAAATCAGTTTGCCAAGGATACAAATCAATCTCATTCATTTATTTATCCAATAACATTTATTAAGAATCACTGATATATTAGGCACCACATTAGGAGCTGGGTCTGAGATGGCAGAGTGGAAAGAGTCCCTGCCCTCATGAAGTTTCTCTTCTAGCAGAAGACACAGACAAAAAGACAAGTAAATAAATGAAGTTATTGCAGATAGGGATATATCCTATGAAGGAAATAACCCATTACTGAGATCTGCGAGTCAGGGACTGACTGACTTTAGGTTAGGTGCCCAGGGATAGCTTTGCCACGGACATGAAATTTAGCCTGAGCCTAGAGGATGACAAAGAGTCCACCATGGCAATAGTGAGGGGAAGTACGTCACAGGAAGAGGAAGCAGGATGTGCAAAGAAAAGAAGTTGTAAGCTCCAGGAATAGAGAGGACAGTGTGGCTAGAGGGTCATCAGCAAGGGGAAATGGGTATGAGACAAACCTGGACATGAAGCAGGAACAAATCATGCAGAACTCAGAGGCAATGGAAAAGAGTGAATTCTCTTCCACGGGCAAGGAGGCCCATTGAAGGATCGAAGCAGGGAAGGGGAGGTAGGTTTTAAAACCGCCAAGCCAAATTTTCAAACTATACATTCAACCCAGTATCTGACACCGTCCTCATACGTGGGCCTGTTCAAAGTTGTTCAGAATGATGACACCAAGGCCCTGCAAAGTTTTCAAACTTCCTATTTACTAATGCAAGACAGGGTGGAGAGAAGCAGCACCAGAGGGTTGCCCTCAGACACCTCCAGGGTTCTGAGAATCAGTCCCTACCATTCCCAGAGCACCCCACTTATGACCATTTTGGGTGGAGTTTGGGCGTTCTCCCACTGTGCTTCAAGAGGTTATCCTGCCTGTGCTTCTCATACCTGGAGGGCTGTGTCACTTGGGAACATGAAAGTGACCCCCAGGAAAACATGGTAGACAAATTTATTTTCAACCGAGTTACATAATACAGAATTATCAGTACACAGAAAGATCTGAGTTTTAATAAAACATGTGAAATGCTCTGTCACGAAATTTGAACAATTAATTTGACCTGGCTGACATGAGAATTATTTGCTCACAGAGCCCCGTTTCAATAATTTGTGACCATAACAGAACCTAATTAAAACAAACCAAATCAGGAAGAAGAGCCATGGAGGTTTGGAAAGGAAATTTTCTTTTGATTTAGATTTTAGACAGCAATTGACTCTGACAACCTCATCTCTTTGAAAGTGGAAATACACCCAGGGGATGGAACTGTATGAGACTGACGGGTGCCTTCTGATGGAAGGGCTGAGGATTTCCAAGGAAAACGCTTAGTAGAAGCATGTGGAAAACAGCCGCCCAGGGAGCAAGATGCAGGGGGTTTTGTAGTTTTTAAATGGCAGGCATGATGTGGAAACATGCAGAAAGACAACGAAGAAGATGTAGAGCTATGAGACGAGCCACGATGCCTAAGCATCCTGCAGGGGAGGGGAGAGCAGGTGTCGGTCTATTTGTTCTGCTATGCAACACTGTAATGGTGATGCAGAAGAATCATGCTCCCATGCTTGAAATCACCACACCAACAATGGAGGCATGTTCTAGAAGGCTCTTTGAGGCACCAATCTTCTCTTATAGAATGAAAGTGCTCAAAAGAAGGCCAGCAAGCCTGAGCTCCTTGCTTCCTAGTCCACCCAGAGAGGGGCCTGGGCTTGGAGACCCCAGCGTCAGGGCCCAGGCAGGAGGCCACTCGGCAGAGCCAGGCTGAGCTAGCTGATCCTGAGCAGTTCACCCTGAGCTGCTTGGAGCTCCAGGGAACAGAAGTATCAGGTAGCTACTGCACAGCAGCGTTTGGTTGTGCCACAGCTTTAACTACAGTAGCCCTCAACCCTTTTGTTTCCACAACATGTATACTGGCGACAATCATATACCCAGCACAGGACCCTGTGTGGGGCGTGCAGGGTGTGGGGCAATTTTCTACACAGGCTGTTCTTCCTCCCCTTTCCTACCCACAGAGAATGCATGCCGGAAAAAAAAAAAAAAAAAAAGAGTACAATTCCCATGATGAAAGGGCTATCTTTGAGTGGACCCTACTTTTTCTTTTCAAGTAAAGTATTGGCAAACTTCAGTAGATGACTATTAGCCAACGCTGAGACCTCCAAGGTCAGGGCGGCGGAGCGCGCGGCACAGAGCAGGCTGCCCTCCACCCTTTCAGCCTTGAACACTGGAGCAGCAGTTTCATCCTGGCGCAGCTCTGCTGCAGCCAGCTGTCCTAACTCCAGGCCAGGAGGGGGTGAGCACTTTGAGCTGTAGGACAACACATTCTACCTAGTGAGGCGGACACTGCAGGGGAAAGGTGGGGCCAGACACACACTCCAGCAACTGGGCAGTTTGCCCGACACCGGCATGTCTTTTTCCACTTTCCCTACAGTTCCCCCTTTCCCTCTAGCGCTGAGCACCACGCGGGCAGGCTGCTCCAAACGTGTGTCTGTGCCACTGTGACCGGTAACACATGACAGTACAAACTCCACTAAGGACACTTCCTTCCCCACAGGGAGCTCAAGGATAATGCACACCTGGAGAAGATGCACAATGGAGTCTTCCGGGGGGCCACGGGACCTAGCATCTTGTGAGTACAGGGGTGCTGCCTTCCCTCCCCACCCAGGCCTGCTTACGGTGTCCAGCCACACTGTCCCCAGGCTGGTTTGTGGAGATTCAGCCTCCGAATGTGAAACGGCTGCCATCAACCAATAACGCAAACTGGGAGGGCCAACGTGACGGAAACTGTCTGCATTCTAGAGCCTAGACGTCTGAACCAAGGTATCAGCAGGCTTATTCCTCCTGAGGGCTGTGAAGGTGGGATCTATTCCAGGCCTCCCTCCTTGCTGCTCGGTGTGCCTTCTGGTTGTGACAACAGAACTCTCGCCCATGGCATTCTCTGTGTGGATCTGCCTGTCTCTGAATTTCCCTCTTTTTATAAGGACACCAGTCATACTGGATCTGGATCCATCCTAATGACCTCATTTTAGAATGATTACCTCTGTGAAGACCTCGTGTCCAAATAAGGTCAGATTCTGAGGTACTGGGGGCTTAGGACTTCCACATTTGAATTTGGAAGAGACACGATTCAACCTACACCACCAAGTATGCAGGGCTGTCTTACGTGCTGACAGAGGGGTGGCTGCCTGCCTGGTATCCATCCATGGACATGCAAAGGCCAAAGATCTGACTTGCCCCTGGCACTTGTACGGACAGAGCTGAGCTTCTCTGTCGGGCTCCCTGAGGTGCAAGCAGCAGAACCACTCTACTTCCAACCCTGCCACTGTCAACTTCTGACTGTGCCTAGTTCCCAGCCCCCACTGCTATCAACCCCCCTGACCGTCTCTAGTTCCCAGCCCCCACTGCTATCAACCCCCTGACTATCTCTAGCTCCCAGCCCCTGCTACTATCAACCCTCCTGTGTCTAGTTCCCAGCCCCCACTACTATCAACCCCCCTGACTGTGTCTAGATCCCAGGCCCCATTACTATCAACCCCCCTATTTCTAGTTCCCAGCCCCCACTACTATCAACCCCCCTGACTGGTGTCTAGTTCCTAGCCCCCACTGCTGTCAACGCCTCATTGTCTTTAGTTCTAGCCCCCATTACTGTCAACCCCCAATCCAGTCTAGCTCCTAGCCCCACTACTGTCAACTTCAAACTGTGTCCAGTTCTAGCCCCCACCACTGTCAACCCCTGTCTTCACCTAGTCAGCAGCTCCTGCTGGTATCCATTCTGACTCTTCTTAATTCCTGTAATCATCAACCCCTGACTCTGTTTACTTCCTAATTCCCACCACTAGAACTCCTGACCTTCTCAACTTCCTAACTTCTGCCACTCTCAATCCTAACGCTCTCTCTACTCTCCACTCAACCTCATGACTTTTGCTTTTACTACCTCATGACTCCTGCCCACTGCTTTCTCTGCTGTGTCTCAGCTTCCGCCACCCTACCCCAAGGGTCCTTGTCTGTAAGTCTCATATTCATTGTACACCAGACGCACAATCATACAGGTTGGTTGAGACTCTGTAGTCTAGCACACCTTATAGGCAGAGCTCTTAGAGCAAGCTGGCTACTGACCCAGCCGCTGGACAGCCAGTCAAAGAGAGTTGCCTCTGGGTCAAAGTGTATGATGAAGTTAGTGTGGTCACAAGACATCCTGCCTGATAGTCTTTGCCTGAAGAGCTGCTTGGTCCACTTGCTTAGAAATGACTGTGAGCAATAGAGATACCTGCACTGTCTTGTCCAGAACAGTCAGACCAGACCTAGTCTTATTTCACAAGCAGCTGTTCTCATTACACCCTTAGGGTGTCAGTGGTGTCTAGAAGCATTCCTTCTACCCACAACTCAGAAACATTTCCCCCACTGGTCTTCCATGAGACTGAAAATATATTATCAGAGATTTACTCCTTTATAATGAGAACTTGCCTCTTCTAGAATCCTAATTTAAAATCCTAAACATCCTAATTTAAAATCCTAAGTATTAAAATCCTAAAATAACCCCCCAGCAAAACATACGCACACACACAAAACAAAAAACCCACCTGCAAAGAGTTGTGTGCTCTATCCCTAACATATCCAAGATACCTCCATAAAGCAGAATGAGAACACTGGTTATCTCAATCAACAAGGGCATAAAAGCAGCAGGAATCTGAAGCCCGTGAGGTAAATTCTGCCGTCTTGACTGGTCCACCAATGACCTACACTAGTCATCGCTCCATGTTGTCAAGTTCATCTGTCTATCAGTCATCTCTTGATCCCCTTCCATGTGCTGGGCACTAAGCACTGGGACAATTTGCCGAAGGGGACTGTGCTGATGGAAAAGTTTCATGGGGCATCAGCAGCAACCACTTAGGAGATGGGCAGGATTTTAAATTTTCTACTGACTCATCTTCCTCCTCACATTGAACTTGTTTGGATTTTTCTCAGATATTGCCTCAAGTCTAGAAAAGCCAAAGAGTTTGGGACCTTGTTTACAAAACCTAAGGTTTCCACACAGTACTCTTTGCATGCCCAACTGCTTGCTTGCTTTGGACTGATGATGAATCCAGTTTGCCTTTAGATAACATGCAGTCTGCTTCCCAGGTAGATGATGGCTAAGGCCATACAGCAGCTCTTAATAGTATAACTGGCCTGTGCTTAGTGAAAACCTACCCTGCAGGGCTTGATCAGTCAAAGACAGAGGCATCTGAAGCTCTGAATATCTCCCCCTGGGAGAGAGCACAAAAGCTGTTGTCACTGCACGTGCCTGCTGTCTCATAAAGCAATAGCTATTTCATGTCTGCTAAGTGGAGAAAGGGAGAGGGATGGAGAGAGGGAGAAAGGGGTGTGGGGGAAGGAAGAGAAATGCTAATGAACATATGGCAGGTATAAGGAGTTACACTCAACTTTGAAAGGAATAATGGGGTGCATATGAGGGGAAAAACACAGCATAGTTTTTTGTTGTTGTTGTTGTTGTTTTTGATCTTAATGAGAGTAACCGAATGGAGAATTAGGGGAAAGACAAGATGGAGAAAAGATTCCTCAGAACCTAGAACAATACTATTGTTGGGAGGGGGTTTCATCCTATGAATCAAATGTATAAAATATATAAACAAAAAGACTTGCTCCCTTCTATTTTTCAGGGATATTTCTTCCACCAAATTGCAAGCCTTGCCTAGCTACGGGCTGGAGTCCATCCAGACACTCATTGCCACATCATCCTATTCTCTAAAAAAACTGCCATCGAGGGAAAAATTTACCAACCTCCTGGATGCCACACTGACTTACCCTAGCCACTGCTGTGCTTTTAGAAACTTGCCAACAAAAGAGTAAGTAAAAAAAGGGAGAGCCTGCCAAGCTGTGGCAGAAACAGATTTCAAAACAGTCAACTAGTCTACAGCTTCCTACCCCTTCACTCCCTGCTCTAGATCAGCTCCATAGCCATGGGGTCACTTTCAGAGAGCCAAGAAGAAAATGAGCCATCCTGTTTCCTCCCGAAAACTGATTCCAAACAGTTGATTCACCCTGCAGCTACAAGACCTTTGTAGCCTATTCTGGGCCAACTGAGTTATAACCTTAAATTAGGCTATAATTGCAACTGCAAAATGGAGTACAAAACTGGCATCTTAAAGATCAGTTAGCTCTAATTCTTATCAGAGCACATCATTTTTAAAGAAGGAGGGAAGTAGGCTCAAGAGAATAAATTTTACCTAACATCTTAATCTTTAATTTAGAAAAATGGACACAAAACTCTACAGAAGGCTTTTTTTTAAAGCTATTTCTCTCCCAGCAAGAAGACCATGTTTCATTTCAGAACAGAATTCTACCTCCCAAAGGAGTAGCTTAGTGTCAGAACAAAAAGGGCATGAGCTCCTGGCTGGTTTGTGTCCAGTGGGGGCATCTTGCTGATTCCACTGACACACTACAATCCAGAATGGAAGGACAGCATGTGCAGGATTTCATTCTTTCTTTAAAGATTGTTTTCCAGACTTCTTTTTGACGGAGATACATACTAATATCTTTTTTTACATCGCAAACCACTATACATGTCACATAGGTAACAAAACTTTTTTACATGTGTGATGTGCACGTTTTTCTTGTCTATTTTACTCTATTTTATTCCACGTGTGTTTGTGTTTTTAATACTAGTCTTGATGCACTCCACTGTTTTCATGACCCACTAATGGGTCACAACTCACAGCTGTGAAAACATTTGCCCAGAAGTGTTATTATGCAGGCTAAGATGTTCTCAATTAATTAGATGAGGTGCTAGAAGAGTGACACTAAGATGCTGCTGTCTTTGTTTGGAATCCACCTATTTATAATGAGTCAACCAACATGTATTATTGTACATCTACTTTGTGCCTTGCAGAGGTGCATGAAGTGCTATCTGAAGTTTTGAGGTAACCAAAAAGAAGACAAAGCACTCAGAGAGCCATACACCATTAACTGACCTTCAAAGAATATTAACTGAGCACTTATTTCCAAACTGTACAAAAATCTGAAGATACAAAGATAACTAAGAGCTCATCCCACCCTCCGAGAGTCACAAACAGCTGTTTGGGGGCAACACACAAGAGACCAATGTTTAAGTACAATACAGCAAGGGTAATGATAGAGCTGAGAACAGAACAGAATGTTCTGGGAGCACAGAAGAAGAGCTTCTAAACAGCAATAGGACTTACAGAAGGCTCCCTGAGGAAGTGACTTCTGCTGAGCTTTGGAGAAGGGGTAGGGGTTGGCTAGGGAAGAGTGAGTGAAACCATGCCAAGAAGACAAAGTAGCTGGTGTGAAGGCACAAAGGCAAGAGACAAAGGATGGAAGTCCTTTGGGAAAACTGGAGCAAGATGCTTTGTTGGTACACAGAGGAAACAGGGAGAGGTGTATTGTGATGGGCTCTGAGTGCCGGGCCAGGTTGTTCAGAGGATGGGGAAACACTGAAGAACTCAAAGCAAAATTACTCAGATTTGCTTTTGTAAAATAACACTCCGGCACCTCTGGAGATGGCTTGGAGGTGAGCAAAGCTGGTGAGAGACTAATTTGAAGAACAATACAGACAGTGGTTTATGAGAAAGCTGATTCTGGACACCTCAACTTTGGAGGCAAAGTGGTCACATCCCTTCTGAAATTACTGACATGTAAAAACAGTTGTTCAAGGGCTTTTTATTCCAGCAAATGAAAGAGACAGCCTCTGGGTAAAAAAGGGGAGGACAGGCTTATGCAGTTGTAGGCCAGTATCAAAGTGCAATGGGAATATAGTCACACAGAGGGTGTCTTGCTTGGGATTACAAGGTTTAACTGACTCCCTCTGTCTCCACAAAGCTTGAAACCTTGGATGCTAGTAAGGCTGGAGAGCCTGAAGCTGGGCCAGTGGAATGTTGATGCAAACTCTGAGCCACCCCTCTGCCCTGCAGCTGCTGGGCCTGGATAACACACACAGCTGCCTAGGCAGATGGCCCCAAAGACCTCCTTGGTATCTATGATTAAAATTGCAAAAAAAGAGTAAATGGAATCCAGTGCTATGAGCTGAAGGCTAAGAACAACCACATTTCCTGTTAACTATAGACTGGTTCACACATAGTATCTCTAAGAGTCAGATATGGAGCTAGCATCAAACACACACACACACACACATACACACACACACACACGCATACTTTGATCCAAATTTGAGGACTTATAAGCCTGACCCAAAATAACAAGCTGATTAATTTTTGAAAGTGTGTCCAGTAGGTCAAATAGTTCTGCTATATTATCCACCTTCCTGCTTTGTATACAAAGTTATTTGTACAAGGAATTGTCTTGTTAATATTGGAGAAGAATAGATAGAAATTTCTAGTCTCAGTTGCCTCGTATCTCCTTCCTCCTTGGGAAAGGTTGAGTTTCTCACCACCTTTTCTCTTTCCTTCTATTTCTTCATCCAGTTTCCTGTGTGCCTCCCTTTGGTCTCATCTTAGGAATATAAGTACAAGTCTCCTTTAATATCTTGATACTTCTCTCCTTTCCATTAGGCTAAACTTCTTGGAACAATGGAGGAGTAGGGAGCACCCACATATACTTCTGCACATAAGGAAAAAAGGTAGAAAACTCACATCATAATGTGAAGTCCAGTATCTTCAAATCCTTACAAAACAGATTTCCCAGCTAGGATTCGAAGCCATGAATTCTGAATGGTTATTTGTTCATCAAGAACAATGTGGTAAGGAGAGTGGTAAGGAGCAAACCCTAATATACCATAAAGGTAGTTTTTAATAAGCAGTGAAAAATCCATGATTCTACATGACCGATTTAGGCTTTTTTGTCTCTAGAGCCCACACAAAACATTTAGCATTCAGGAGCATTTTATCTAAGCTGGAAGCACTCTAATGACAATTCTGAAGCCTTTACTCTCTCCCCAGTAAATGTTTCAGTTAGGACAATGGTGCAGAACATGACTGGTATAATAGGTAAAGAATTTGGATGAACAAAGCATAAATAGACATGATCATGTTTAGTTTAAAGACCAAAAGCCCAACTGCTTTTTTTTTAAACCTCTTTTCTTTCAGGCAGAATTTTTCATTTTCCATTTTTGAAAACTTTTCCAAACAATGTGAAAGCACAGCAAGGAGACCAAATAATGAAACGCTGTAAGTATTTGCATGCAAAGAAATTCAGGAAGCCATGTCTCATTCTATATGCACCTTATTATCAGTGCCAGTGGTTTTCTTCTGATAAAAGTCTTCACTGGGGGGATGTTTGCAAAGCACTTTTTAATAGATTTAAAATGGGAATTTTTTTTCTTTGCAAGTGGCATCCAGTTGATCAGACATCTCTTTTAACTGGTTAAAAAAAAAAAAAACTCTAAAAAAATGTATCTACATGTTCATTCTACAGTTAAATGATCCTCAGAAATTAAAATTTTATTTACAGGTATTTTGAAGTCACTCAGGGCTTGTTTAAATGACGGCTTCATTTGTAGGAATTTTCACTAGTCAGTGGTCAACAAAGATTAACATTATTGCAGATACAGCTTCTAGAAGTAGCCACTTTCCTTCAGAAAGACTCTGGCCACCTTGACCACTATGCTCTGGAGCTTCAAATTATTCAACCTCAATGCTCTCACTAATATACACTGCATGGGAGCTCCATTTCTATTCTACTGATTTTTTTTTTTAACATTTTTCCTGGCAGCCTTGGCATTTCACATACATTCAAATGTAAAAGGGCATGCCTCAAAAGATAATCCCAGTGTCCCAATGACACATTTACTGTGATTTATAAATCTTATTATTTCCCCCCATGTGTCCTTCAGGCTACAAAACCAGATGCCCTTCTAAGACACCTTACCATTCTCCATCCCCTCTTCATCTTTTTTTCTTTTCTCTTGTTTTTTTTCCCATCAATCTGCAAGTTATATAGAGGCAGCAGGGTGGTATGATGGAAGGACCCTGGGCTTTGGGGCTTCTCCGAGTTGGACATGAATCCTTGGCAGTGATGTTCCTGTAACAATGGGTATCCCTAGACAATACTTAGCTTTTTTGAGACCTTTTTCCTCATCTGTAAGGGGCAGCAGGAATATCATTTGGCTCTCAGAACCATGAGAGTGAAGGGAGTTATTAAAGAATGTCACAGCACTGGGGTACATTAGAAATATACTCTGTATCCTTCTTCTCTCTTTCATTTAGGTCCAACACCAAGTGTATTCCAATGTTCCTTTTCCTCATCATTCCTGCTCTTGTCTCGATATTCTGTCAGTCACCTTCCCTGTAACTCTTTTGTAACCTATGGCTTTTTTCCTCAACAGGAAACACTTCTGGCTATAGTCAACGGTAGCATCAAGGGGTAGTTTGTGGGGACGGGAGACTTTAGCCCACTCTCAATAATCCTCATCAGCCCCGCCACAAGCCTTCCCAAATAAGGCTACAATCTTGAGTTTGCTATACTAACACTACTTTAAAACAAATCCCCTAATCTCCAGCATCCCCAAAACTATGTGAAATTAGTACATAATCTAGGTAAAAAGAATGTGCTCCCTATGAGGCCCCCTACCCCCCCTTCCTACCTTGCTATTCCTAAATCCCTGGAGTTTAGAAATTCTACAGCCAGCCACTAATCCTTACCTACTCTCGCCAAGATATCAGTGCCCTTGCTGTTACAGCTGGCCCCATCTTTCTCCTACAGTCCCAATCTTTCCTCCTGTCTTTGTTCATTGTGATTGGAGTAGCCTCTCCTTCCTCTGACTCAGTGTTGTAGGCCTAGACAAGTCCATTCATACCCTTCAGTACTAGAGACAGCTCCCTGCTGGGTTTTGTCAATAAGCATGCTGCTGCCCTCAGGAGCCGTCCCAGGACACAAATGTAAGTAGCAGCAGGTAGGTATTTGGTCTAAAGACAAATCACGAAAGAGAAAAATTGCTAGACATATGCCCAATAGGGGAAAAAAAAAAAAAAAGGGCAAAGGACCAGAGGAGAGAGAACATGTTTGACCTCTTATTAACACAAATTTATTCAGAAATCATGGCAGAATTTTTAGAAGCTTCGAATTAGTGTTTCTGACATAGTTTTATTAGTAGCAGCTAAAGTAGTTTTTTTTTTAAGATGGTATTTATTTATTTGAGAGAGAGAGCATGAGCACAGGGGAAAGGCAGAGGGAGAGGGAGAAGCAGGCTCCCCACTGAGCGGGGGGGCGAACGCAGGGCTGGAGAAAAGCACTGACCTAGAGACAGTGACATAGAGGAAAGGCCCCTGCACTAGGGGTATGAAGACCTAATGCTACCACTACAGCCTAGTGCTGAGGGACTTTAGGCTAATCACCTACCTCCTTTAACCTTGGATTCCTCACCAATAAAATGAGGGGTTCAGTAAGATTGTCTTTCAGAACCTCTCTAATGCAAAGAAATAAACTATTTTCTTTAATCATTTTTATAACCACCACATCCCTTTAAAGATTAAAAAAAAAAACCAGGTAATTCTATTAATGGGCATGAGATGAGGATAAACAAATGCACCTGTATTTAGTAATAAAGCAGGTAAGGTTCCTGTGCAATCTTCTATGCAGAGCAGCAATCCTTCACTAGTCCCAAAATGGTTTCTAAGAATTTCTAGCACCATTTTGGAATTCACAGATCATAGATTTCTTTTCATTCCTTTTTTAATCTGTGTTATTTCCCTTCAGTAATTGTATTGCTCAAATATATCATTTCATCCACTCACAGAATCAAGTTCACACTTCCTTGTTTGGAACGTGAGAAGCTAAGTTTTGAGAATAGAGAAAAATACTCTTTTAAAGGGTGAGAAACCCTAAGGTAAAATACATATTTGTGATGGCCCTGACAGAAAAATTATGCCCATTCCTCCAGCTCCCAAGATTATATTAGCAGACCTAGCAAAGAGAAAATTTGTTGAGCCTACATGCATCATACTGTACACACTTGTTGTCCCTATATCCTTTCAATTCCTCTCAGAGCCAGGATCACCCTGGTTTACTCATTCCTCAAGCATTTATTGAATGGATACTCTGAGCCAAAACTGTGTGAGGCACTGAGAGTTCAGAAATAAATAAGACCTAGTCCCCTGCCTTCAAAGCTATTAAAGAATAGCTTCACGGATTATTAAAGAACACACGCATCATCACACAACGGCAGTACAGTTTGATAATGACAATAGTCCTTAAGTGCAGCCATGGCAGAAGGAGTGATAAACTCCTTGGAGGTGTAGAAACAAGAAAGGCTTCAAAGAGGAGCTTACCTTTAAGGATGAGGACGAATTCACCAGAGAGATAAGGAGAGGAAGGGAAGAAGAAACGGCACATACAAAGACAGAGGGATGAAAGAGTAGATTCTGAAAGCCACAAGTCATTTCATGTAACTGAAGGGAAAGTTGCATGAGGGATGTGCAAGAGATCATTATAAGAATCCCTAACAGTCACTGAACCCTTAATATGTGTCAGGCATTATTCTAAACATTCTATAGGTGTTAACACAGTTAATCCTTAGCACAACACTAACAAGGGAAGTATGATTCGTAGATGTATTTGGCAAATGAAGAGATTAAGGCACTGAGATAGTAACTCTCCCACCCAGATTTACACAGCCTATGAAGACTGGAACCCAGTCAGCTTTGTTCTCGGAAATGAGACTGGAGGAAGAGGCAGAACCCAGATCATTTAGGACTTGGAGGTCATCACAAGGAGTCTGGATTTTATCCCATAGCCATTGAGAACCTAGCAAAAGTTTGAATAGATTTGTACTTAAGAAAAGCCATTCCAGGAGGAAGGTACAGATGGACTGGAAGAGGGCTAAAATTGGGGAAGGATGCTGGGGGAAAACTAATGTAACTGTCTTGTAAGAGAGGATGAAAACCTGAACTTAATTAGTAGCAGTGGGCTTGGGAGGAAGGGAGTGCCAGAGGTGGGGCTGCTCCTTCACTAGAGATGGAGTTCCTCTTCATTCCACTCTCTGAATTTGATTCATACCCCTAAGGAATATCTATTGTCCCTATTTCCCCCAAAGCAGACATTTCTCCCTGTTGTCCATGTCTATATTCATCTTCTGCTAGGTTTCCAGTAGTCCATCCTTGCTTTCCACTTCTCACCTGGGCTATGTGATTAGCCAGAGACCAATGTGCAAGCTAGTCTACCGGTAGCGGTGAGCCTTCAGCAGGGTGAGCCTTCCAATCCCATTTGTGTTCTACTATAGACACATGGCTTGATAGCAGTTTAGTTGGCAAGTAAATGAAATAAATACCTAAGAAAATGCCAAGAAAGGATTCTTTTAGACATAGCAAGCATATACTGTGTCTTTAAGTTTGTTTTCCAAAGAAAAATCATCCTCTGTAAACAGCTTCATTAAGCCTTTGCATCAATGATATACATACATATATATTCCCTTAAGGAATTCCTATATCAATTTGGAGTTCTCAGATAATTTAACAAATAAACCTAAGACTGAGGCTGTTGTGGCTTTGTTTCCTTTTGTTTCATAGGATTTAAAAAACCCTAAGGATTATTCTTCCATTTTTTTTAATATACAGAATCATAGAAAATCTCTTGAGTTTACATTGAGACAAAATATTCTTCTTACAGTTATTCTGCCATCTTTGCTGAGAGTGAACTGAGTGACTGGGATTATGACTATGGTTTCTGCTCACCCAAGACACTCCGATGTGCTCCTGAACCAGATGCTTTTAATCCCTGTGAAGATATTATGGGCTATGACTTCCTTAGAGTCCTGATTTGGCTGATTAATATCCTAGCCATCATGGGAAATGTGACTGTTCTTTTTGTTCTCCTGACTAGTCGTTATAAACTGACAGTGCCCCGTTTTCTCATGTGCAATCTCTCCTTTGCAGACTTTTGCATGGGGCTCTACCTGCTGCTCATTGCCTCAGTTGATTCCCAAACCAAAGGCCAGTATTATAACCATGCCATAGACTGGCAGACAGGGAGGGGATGTAGTGCAGCTGGCTTTTTCACTGTATTTTCAAGTGAGCTTTCTGTCTACACCCTCACGGTTATCACACTAGAAAGATGGCACACCATCACCTATGCTCTTCAGCTGGATCAAAAGCTACGTTTAAGACACGCCATTCCGATCATGCTTGGAGGATGGTTCTTTTCTACTCTAATTGCCACTTTGCCCCTTGTGGGTGTCAGCAATTACATGAAGGTCAGCATTTGCCTCCCCATGGATGTGGAAACCACTCTCTCACAAGTCTACATATTAACCATCCTGATACTCAATGTGGTGGCCTTCATCATCATTTGTGCTTGCTACATTAAAATTTATTTTGCAGTTCAAAATCCAGAGCTAATGACTACCAACAAAGATACAAAGATTGCCAAGAAAATGGCGGTCCTCATCTTCACTGATTTCACTTGCATGGCACCAATCTCTTTTTTTGCCATCTCAGCTGCCTTCAAAGTGCCCCTTATCACAGTAACCAACTCTAAAGTTTTACTGGTTCTTTTTTATCCTGTCAATTCTTGTGCCAATCCATTTCTGTATGCAATTTTCACAAAGGCATTCCAAAGAGATTTCTTTCTGTTGCTGAGCAAATTTGGCTGCTGTAAACGTCGGGCTGAACTGTATAGAAGGAAGGATTTTGTGGCTTATACCTCCAACTGCAAATATGGCTTTACTGGATCAAATAAGCCTTCTCAGTCCACCCTGAAGTTGTCTCCTTTGCAGTGTCAATATACGATGTCCCAGACAAGACTTGCTAATAAAGAGTGTTAACTGTTTTATCAGTAACCAGATTATTGAATTGTGCTTAAAAATATAAAAAATGATCTGTACTAATAATTTTAACAAAGACTTGGTTTTAGGAAATTATTTATTCTTAGGCACACTGGGCAAAAGAGAGATAGCTACCTAACTCCAAGTGTTGTCCATGACCATTGCCAGTCTAAAAATTATTTGTCATTGGTACATAATGACATAAAATACAGATGTTGAGAGTGTTTAGAAACATTTCTAGCAATTTTGACATAGTAATTTAATGTCTGTTGAATCTAAAATTTTCTAAATGAGGTGGTATTTTACATATCTTGGGAGGTTTTTTTCATTTCATCTTTGTAGTGATTTTTATTGCATTTTATAAAAATATTAGTCCATAACAGATTTGACATTTAAAATAACTGGTCCTTTTCCTCACATAGTTTGAAAAACACCCTTCAGGGATTCACTGTCCAATCTGGTGGCCACTAGCCACATGCAGCTAAGTTAAAATTAAAATTAAAATGTAGTTTCTCCCATGAAACCTCTAGAAGAAAATATAGGCTGTAATTTATTTGACATCAGCCTTAGCAACATTTTTCTAGATAGTCTCCTCAGGCAAGGAAGGCAAAAGCAAAAATAAACTATTGGGACTATACCAAAATAAAAAGCTTTTGCACAGCTAAGGACATTATCAACCAAACAAAAAGGCAACCAATCTGGTAAACAGGAGAAGATACATGCAAATAACATATCTGATAAGGCACTGATATCCAAATATACATAAAGAACTCATACAACTCAACACCAAAATATCAAATAATCTGATTTAAAAATGGGCAAAGATGGGGCTGTTCCTTCTCTAGAGATGGAGTCCCTCTACATAGAATCCACTCTCTGAATAGACATTTTTCTAAGACCTACAGATGGCCAACAGACACATGAAAAGATGCTCAACATCACTCATCATCAGGAAAATGCAAATGAAAACCACAATGGGATATCACTTTACACCTGTGAGAATGGCTGGACTTGAAAAGAAAAGAAATAACAAGTGTTGGTAAGGATGTGGAGAAAAGGGAACACTTACGCACTGTTGGTGGGAATGTAAATTAGTGCAGCCATTATGGGAAAGAGTATGGAGGTTCCTCAAAATAATCAAAATAGAAATATCATACAACCCAATAATTCCACTTCTGGGTATTTGTCCAAAACAAACAAACAAACCCAAAACACTAATTCGAAAAGATATATGACCCCTGTTTATTGCAGCATTACTTACAAGAGCCAAGATATGGGAAGCAACCCAAGGGTCCATAGACGGATGAATGGATAAAGAAGGTTTGGAAAATATATACACATACATACATACACACACACACGCACACACACACACACTGAAATACTATTCATTCATAAAAAAAGAGTGAAATCTTGCCAATCTTGAATGGATGGACCTAGAGGGTGTAAGTGAAATAAGTCAGACAGAGAAAGAAATACTATATGATTTCACTTACATGTAGAACCTAAAAACCAAAACAAACAAAAACTTCCTCATAAATACAAAGAACAAATTGGTTGTTGCCAGGGGAGAGAAGAGTAGGAGGACAGACAAAATAGGTAAAGAGGATTAAAAGGTACAAATTTCCAGTTATAAAATAAATATGTCACAGGGATGAAAAGTACAACATAGAGAATATAGTCAATAATATTTTAGTAAATTAGTATGGTGACAGATGGTAACTACACATTGTGGTAAGCATCTTGCAATATATATAGTTGTCAAATCATTGTTTTACACTTGAAACTAACACAATGTTATAGGGTCAACTATATTTCAATTAAAAATTCTAAAATTTAAGGGGCGCCTGGGTGGCTCAGTCATTAAGTGTCTGTCTTCGACTCAGGTCATGATCCCAGGGTCCTGGGATTGAGCCCCACATCGGGTTCCCTGCTCTGCGGGAGGCCTGCTTCTCCCTCTCCCACTCCCCCTGCTTGTGTTCCCTCTCTTACTGTGTCTCTGTCAAATAAATAAATAAAATCTTAAAAAATTTTTTTAATTTTAAAATACTCTGTATGATACTATAATGGTGGATACATATCATTATATATTTTTCCAGATCTATAGAATGTACACCAAGAGTGAGCTCTTACATAAACTACAGACTCTGAGGAGTCAATGTACATTCATCAGTCATAGTGTATGTACCACCCTAGTAGGGGATATTGATAATGGGGGAGGCTGTGTGTTGTGTGGCAGGGTGAGTAAGTAAATGGGAAATCTCTGTACCTTCCACTCAATCTTGCTCTGAACCTAAAACTACCCTGACAACTCTGAGAAACAAACTGAGGGTTCCAGAGGGGAGGGGGGTGGGGGGGATGTGTTAGCCTGGTGATGGGTATTAAAGAGGGCACGTACTGCATGGAGCACTGGGTGTTATATGCAAACAATGAATCATGGAACACTACATCAAAAACTAATGATGTAATGTATGGTGATTAACATAACATAATAAAATAAATAAATAAATAAATAAATAAATAAATAAATAAAACTACCCTGACAAGTCTATTAAAATTAAAAATTTTGAAAGCAAAAAAAAAATTAGAAATTAAAAAATAAAGCAAGTTGCAGACATCAGTACTCATCAGCTCTAAACACTTCAAGCATGCTTATCACTAACCAAGGCTCAATATTTTACATTTTAGGTAAGACTTACATGGACAAATACTAAACATACCATTTAATGAGTTTTGAGAAATTCATATATCCATGCGACCCCAAACCTCTATGAAGACATAGAACTCTATCGCCCTCAGAAAATTCCCTCATGCCCCTTCCTAATTAACCGCTCACTCCCACCCCCCAAAGGTAACAATGGTTCTGATTTTTCCCCCATAGATTAGTTTTGCCTGTTCTAAAACTTCATATAAATAGAATCATACAGTATATACTCTTGTGTAAGCCTTCTCTAATTCAACACAATGTTTTTGCTATTCATCCAGGCTATTGCTTGAATCATTGTGGTATTTTATAAAAATATTTTTATTCCAATTCATTGCTGAGTTGTAGGGCTCTAACACTGTTTTCCATTTTCCTACTGATGGAAATCTGGGCTATTTCCAGTTTTTAGCTCTCCTTCAACATTTTATTAAATAAATGTATAGTCACAACTAGACTCTGTATTTAATCTGCCTTCCACCTTTATGCCACTGTGCAAAGTGATTCAAAATAGCCCATAAAAGATCATAAGCATTACAAAGTATCTCTTTTCTCTGTATGTTTTTCACATTTCTGACTTTTCTACTTAGTTAGAACTAGTTACTTCTCTTTACTCAGATGCAATCCTCTCTGGTAAGCTAGTGTTCTAGAAGTTGTCTCAGTGATATGAAAGAATACTAATTAGTCATGTTCTTATATACATACATAATAAACTTTTTGATTAATTCATAATAAACTTTTTGATTAATTCATAAGTCCCAGAACCAAAACAACTAAATAAGCAAAAAAGCAGAAAGTCAAAAAAAGTAAAATATATCCTTGCAGAGAAATTCTATTTAAATTATGTCTTCTTAAATATTGTTTGAGCCAAAGTACTTGTATATATCCTCTGAAAATAACTTTTGTGGCCTTATCCACAAATACTGATTTTTCTAAGTTTCAACATAGACTTATAGTTTACTATCTCCCTCATCCTCATATCCTTTCATTCCTGAAGACCTACCAGTTGTTGAGTGTCTTTGAATGTCTTCTGTATCAAGTCTTTATTTTGCATTCCTGCTGACACACCGTCATTTCAGGCCATTCCCCCTTACCTCAGAAGTCCTATCATATCTCCCTCATTTTTATTCATATCCAATCTTTGCCACGTCTACACTCTCATACTCACCACTGATTAATCTTCCTAAAATCCTATTTCATCCTATCACATACATGCCAAAATCCTGAGCAGCACATCAGTACCTATAAATTTAAGTTTTAGCTCCTAGACTAACATTCAAAGGGCTCCAGAATCCATTCTCAAGTCTGCTCACTTGGTCTCCTGCTGTTCTTCTGCATGAAACAACCTCTTCCACTTGCTTTTCCCTAACCATGCCCCACGCATCTCTCTTCTGATGTCCTTGCCACTGTTACCATCCAGAACACCTTCTTCCTTACCTGTCCTCCTCCTGCACCCCAGCCACAGGTCTAGCTTTGTTCCCAAGCTCTCCTAATCCACCTCCTCCCTAATCTACTGAATTTAAGACACCTCCTTTACCTGAAATACAAAGGCATAAATAATAAATATGTGACCCACAACAATCTCTCTGGACTTCTTTTGCCTTTTCATCCCTATCACTCATCTATCTGTCTTTTATGCTACACACTGGGTGTTATTATCCTTACACATATACCTCTTATTTCACCTATCTTAGAAATTTCTTTTGTGATAAACTCATTTCTTTTACTTGATTTCTCCCACTATATCTATCCTCAAGTCTTATATATAGTAGGTGATTAATAATTTTTTCAGCTGATTCCCTTTTATAACTAAAATATAAGACCAATCCTTATGAAGAAGTATTTCCCTCATGAGATGGTCTTGTATATTCTTAATCTGTGTAATCCTTCATACATAAATGATAAAAACATCAAATGCTCAGGAAATTTCATTTCTATCTTGTGGGTTTTTGTTTTTGTTTTTCTTTACCATGTTCGATATTATCACTGGCAGTTTGCAAAATGACGAAGAAAGATTAATCAGCAAGAATCACTCATCTAGGGGCTCCTGGGTGGCTCGGTCTTTAAGCGTCTGCCTTCGGCTCAGGTCATGGCCCGGGTCCTGGGATCAAGCCCCACATTGGGCTCCCTGCTCGGCGGGAAGCCTGCTTCTCCCTCTCCCACACCCACCCTCCCCCACATTTGTGTTCCCTCTCTCGCTGTGTCTCTGTCAAATAAATAAATAAAATCTTTAAAAAAAGAAAGAAAAGAATCACTCAGCTAAACTTACAAAATCTTTTTAAAAGTTACTATGTCCTCCATTCCTAA